GAAATATATCAATTGGTAACTGCCAATTCCTGGGGCCTTGGTTTTTTGTCAATTCAGAGCAGCTTGAACTTCTTCCTTCATCACCACAGGCTCTTGCTAATACATTGTTTCATGGAATTTTTATGTGTTGAATGGAGTAGGTGGGAATCCCTGGGGGAGCAGGGAAATGGGTAGATCACATGTGTCAAGGGGCTGGAACAACACTGAAACTAATGGTTATTTCTACAATTGGGGAAATATCTTTCATCTGCTCTTTTCCATAAAATGCTTGTCTGTCAGGTACTGTTCTAAATCTGAGCATTCAGATTAAGACAGACTAGGAAGGATTGGCCATTCACTTCCGAAACAGCAAGCCTTTGAAAACCCTATGTACAATAGAACTCAGACTAGCAGGCAAGACAACTGAGGTGGAGCCCTCAAGTATGGAAACACAAAGGAGGAGGAACTGTTGTAAACAGACACTAGCTATTGGAATGTGGAATGTGAGAAGCATGAATGTAGGAAAATCAGATATTGTTAAGGAAGAAATGGAACACACAAATATTGACATTTTGGTGAGATGAGATGGACTAACATGGGGCAGTCTGAGTCAGACAATCATACGATCTACTATGCTGGAGATGAAATGTGAGGAAAATGGGGTTGCTTTCATAGTCAAAAAAGTCAATTGAAGTGGCTGACTCTGAGAAGAATGAGAATCTCAGAACACTTGATTGTGCTTATGCGAAAGATATACTTGGACCAGGAGGCAGGCATCAGAACAGAGCAAGGAAACACTGCATGGTTCAATATTGGGAAGGGTGTACACAAGGAATGTGTCGGATATTAATATCTTTTCAATCTATATGCAGAACAGATTATCCAGAAGGCTGGGCTCTATGAGGATAATTGTGGCATCAGGATTGGAGGCAGACTCATCAACAATCTGCGTTATACAGATGACACAACCCTGTTTGCTGAAACTGAGGAGGACCTGAAGCGCTTGCTGCAGAGGGTCAAGGACTGTAGCCTTCAGTATGGATTGAAGCTCAACATCAAGAAAACAAAGATTCTCACCACTGGGCAGATTGGCAGCATCATGATAGATGTTGAAGAGTGAGATTTTTGCTCAGTTAGCTCTACAATCAACACTCTTGATACCAGAAGCCAGGAAATTAAAAGGCGAATTGCATTAGATTTGTCCAAGGTATTGAGGAGGAACAATGTCAATCTGGAGACTAAGGTGCACATGATGCAGGTCATGGTCTTTGCAATCACTTGCTATGCATCAGAGAGCTGGACAATGACTAGGGGTGATAGGAGAGCTGATGCCTTTGAGTTTTGGTGCTGGAGAAGAGTATGGAATATACCATGGACTGCTAAGAGAACAAATGAGTTCGTCCTGGAGAGGGTGAAGCCAGGCTGCTCCTTGGAGGCAAGGATTCAGAAGCTCCATCTGACATACTTTGAACATGTTGCAAGGTGGGACCAGTCGATGGAGAGGGATATCATGCATGGGAGGCTGGAGGGACAATGCAGGAAGGGAAAACCCTCGATGAGATGGAGTAATTACTGGAGTAATGAGGATAAGTGTTTCGGAGACAATAAGATTTGCAAGGAATAGGGCAGGGTTTAAGGCTGCAGATCCATCTTGAAACAATACTGTGAGTGACAGGATAATAGTCATACACATACAAGGAAGTCCAGTGAATGCCACTATCATTCAGATAGTGAACAAACAGAGCCAAAGATGAGGATATAGAAGATTTCTACCAACTTTTGCAGTCAGAGATTCATCAAACATGCAGTCAATATTCATTAATAATAATGGGTGACTGGAATGCAAAAATTGTGGACAGAGAAGGATTTGTAGTTGGAAAACATGGACTTGGTGAAAGAAATGAAGCTGGAGATAGAATGATAGAATTTTGCACAATCAATAATTTATTTATTGCAAATACTTTATAAAAAACATAAACGCAGGCTATATGCATGGATTTCATGTGATGGTATGCACAGGAATCAGCTCGATTACAACTGTGGAAAGTACTTCTGAAGAAGCGTATATCACCTGTGAAAAAGGCCAGGTGCTGATTGGGAACAGACCACCAACTACTCATGTACAATTTCAAGCTCAAGCTAAGGGAAATTAGATCAAAATCAAATCCAGAGGAACCAAAATGTGATCTTAAGTCTATGGCAGGCAGCTGAATTTAAAAACTATCTCAGGAACAGGTTTGAAGCTTTGAACACTAACGAGCAAAGACCAAATGAGCTGTAGGAAGATATCAAGAAGATATCTGTCATTACAAGGATAGAGGAGGAAGAAAAGACCAAGTCAGAAGAGAATCTGAATATTGCACTAGAGTGCCTAAAAGCCAAAGCAAAGGGAAGAAAACAAGGAAGCACAGGAAGACAAAGTAAAGTATTACAATGAAATGTGCAAAGAGCTAGGGTCAGAAAATCAAAGGGGTGGAACTTGCTCAGCATTTCCTAAGCTCAAGGAACTGAAGAACAAACTCAAGCTTCGAGTTGCAACACTTAAGGATGCTTTAGGCAGAATATGAAATGATCCAGGAAGTATTAAAAGAGGATGGAAAGAGTATACAGAATCATTGTACCAAAAAGACATATTGTAACAAAAATCTTTCCCTATATTTCTTAGAACTACCAATAGAGAAATTTGTTTTACAGCAATATAGTTAATATGGAGTTTTATTTTCAAAGTCCAAATTTCTAGGCGAATTAAATTTCACTTAGTTAAATTTAAAAGAAATTAAATTTCACAAATTAAAGTGAATGAGACTTGTTTTGAAATCTGAGTAGCTTTCAGTGATGCTTCAACACTTGAAGAGAAAAAGACTTTTCACTGAAAAGGGAACACTGAAGAGGGAAAAACGCTTTTCATTTTTTTTTTAGCGAAACCAGCAAGACTGAAATCCAAAGAACTGATGGGCTGAAAAAGAGGCATGCCCCCACCCGCACACACACTCCCCACCTGTCTACTGTGGGCCCCCTTCTTCCTGAGACCCAGCTGCTCGACCTGGCGCCCGTACCAGTAACAGAGTTGCCAGGATATTTACTTGTGACAGAAATTGTTACCTACATTTTTTGCCCATCTCTTTAATGTTGGCTAGATTCTCATATCCACTTAAAGACATCTCCTTCATTGAGATGTAGCATATAGCATAGTTCGTATGTTGTTGTTGTTATGTGCTGTC